AATGACCTTTGTCATCGCGGTACTCTGCAAGTGCGTATACGCATAGCAAATCCTACATTCCGTAAATACGAACAATTAAATTCGTTGCGACAAAAAAACGAACGACCGTAAATATTATAAATATTTATTAGTTTCCCCTCTATAACACGCGACTCGATGTCGCAAACTTTAATTGGGTGCAGGATGGAGAAGGTGAACATAAAGAAGGTGAGATGCCAAGCAAAGGTTGTGGGAACATTTGTGACAGTGGGAGGAGCCATGTTGATGACATTGTACAAAGGCAATGTTATTAACCCCGTTTGGTCCAACCGAAACAACCAACACAAGCAAACATCCTCGTATGCCTCGGCATCATATGACAGGGACTGGGTTATAGGCTCCGTGCTCCTCATCCTCGCTACACTTGCTTGGGCTTCTTTCTTCGTCTTTCAGGTCTCTAACATCTCTGGTTTTTTTAAAATGAAGACATATAAAACAATTGGAAGGGAATTGGCCTTTTTTCTTTGGTAAAGTGTTTGTCACATATGGGATAATTGCAGAAAGAACGAATTGCAGAAAGAACGAGATGTGAAATTGAACTAGCTAATCGATCAGATTCAATATTTTAGTTGTCTTATGACTCAAATGAAAAAAACCATCATTCCATCCTAAATTCCATCGTTGTCGTCCCTCTTGGCAGGCGTTCACATTGAGGAAATACACAGCACAATTGTCTCTAACAGCATTGGTATGTTTCATTGGGACACTGCAATCTATTGCAGTGACCTTTGTGATGGAGCGCAAGAGCTCTGTTTGGCACATTGGGTGGGATATAAACCTCCTTGCTGCTGCCTATGCAGTAAGTCACTTCATTTCTTCGCTGGCTTCCAAACGGGGAATATCTTTAATTAATTATTTTTTCATGTTCTGGAAACGATGTTGCAGGGTATAGTTTCATCGGGCATCGCATACTATGTGCAAGGTGTTGTGATGCAGAAAAGGGGGCCTGTCTTTGTGACAGCATTCAACCCATTGATTATGGTTATTGTTGCCTTCATGGGATCCATAATCTTGGCAGAGCAAATCTATCTTGGAGGGTAAACTAGTCATTTCCATTTAGATTTCGGTCTGCATTCGAAAATGTTGATCTCCTAAATACATTTAAAAAAAACTTATGCATCTTGGTGGAATCAGGGTTGTCGGAGCTGCGCTGATCGTGATCGGATTATATGCAGTGCTATGGGGAAAATACAAAGAGACAGCAGCAAAGGAGGGAATTGAAGAGACAGAGAAGAGTAACAACGCAGAGAAGAGTAGTGAAAAAATGATGGTTACCATTGAAGAAGGTGAAGAAAATGATGTTGAGATGCAAAAGAAAGTTCCTCCAGCAGCAATAGCCATTTCTTCTAATATTTCACAACCTCCCATGTTAGCTAAGGCAGCTCCAAAGTCTCAAAATTAGGACTATAAAATTTATGAATAAACACAGACTGAGAAGTTTTTTTTCCTTTTTTTGTAATTTACTCTGAGCTTTTTACTGTTTCTCATGTAAATTTTCTATGAGATAATATGAGACTATGACTATAGTTTGTTTTTCTTTTTTCCTTGCCTTTTCTTGCACAAATAAAGGTGTTGCAACACTTACTAAATAGTAATTCTGCGATGCGAAAAACTTGGAGCAGATCTTCCCAAATGCCCTTTTTTTGTCCAAGAAAGATCTTTTTCACCACTTCGAATTTCCTAGCCAGTTTATCAAATGGATCAGATTTGGTGTTACTACCACCATCACCTACACAATTAATATCAATGGTGATAATCATGGCTTCTTTAAAGGAGGAAAAGGCATAAGACAAGGTGACCCTAATACACCTCTTTTGTTTGTTCTTATTATGGAATGCCTAACAAGAACAATACAGTTCTATGCTGAGAAGGACAAGCTTGGGTTCCACCCCATGTGCAAAGAACTTTAAGCTTATCAATCTAAGTTTTGATGATGATTTAACTGTAATGTGTAGAGCTGATGAGAAGTCTATTGGCAGCATTATGAAAGCTTTGGAACACTTCGCATTGGTTCGAGGATTGAGAGAGGGAGGAAATAAGGATATGGAGGCTGAGCTGATAACAAAAATTTTTACCAATTCAAATACGGAGTAATTCATAATAGAGTGAACTCTCTAATTATCCAATTGATAGAATGATTGAAACTTGAAGGTAAACTCATCAAGAGAATGATCAGTGAAGTTTTAATTTTTGAATCACCTTGGTTCCCATGACATTGGGAAATGTCATGGGATGACCCGGGGGCGCTCCGGTGTCCCGTTCGTAAAATTAACGGTTCCTACCCCCCCTAACCCCCCGGTAAACCCCCGCCCCGCCCCGAACGCACCCCCCACCCCCTTCCATTGCACCCCACAAGTTGATTTTGACTTTGGAGTCAAATTTTGCCGGGGTGGACCCCAAGATCATATGCCACCGGTTGGCAGTCAACCCAGAGTCTAGGCCGGTGAAGCAGAAGAAGCGTTTTCTCTCGTCCGAGCAGAGGGAGTTTGTCTCAAGGAAGTGACCACCCTCCAGAGCATTGGGCATATCAGAGAAGTTAAGTACCCGGAATGGATGGCGAACGTAGTGTTGGCTCCGAAGGGAAACACCTGGAGGATGTGTGTGGACTACACCGACCTAAATAAGGCATGGCCCATGGACGCATTCCCACTCCCGAACATCGACCAGCTGGTGGATGAGACGGCGGGTTGCGAGCTCATGAGTTTCATGGACGCCTTCAGCGGGTACCACCAAATCCGAATGCACCCTGAAGACGAAGAGAAGACGTCTTTCACTACCCCCGGCGGAGTGTATTGTTACAAGGTGATGCTGTTTCGGCTCAAGAACGCCGGGGCAACCTACGCTAGGATGGTGAGCAAGCTCTTCGCGCCCGTCCTCGGGAAGAGCATGGAAGCAGGGGCGGAGGAGAGGGGGGGCTGCCTGGGCAAGTGCCCCCCGGCAAATTTCCGGCGAAGTAGTATTAGGGTACCCCTTCTCCTATTGTAGGCTTGATGTGCCCCTCCAATTTTTCCGGCAACTCCCGGTGCGGTGTCCAGTGTGGTGGCTGTGCAGGGAAGAAGAAGGACAGAAGGTACACAGGTACTAATTTGCAATTTCCAAAAAAAGAAGATGAAAGGGCTTAATGCTTAAACGACGTCGTAGCTGTACTTTTTTTTAAAATATTTGAGACTTTAAGTCTTTGACCAAATGGACAGCTGCCCATTCCCCATTTTTTGTTCCGATCTACTTTCTCAAAAAAAATAAAAATAAAAAATAAACCCACTGACCCCGTAAAGGGCTAAAGGCAGTAACCTTGAGTTCCAGACTCTCTCTATTCTCTCATCTAAATCTTTGCGGCAAAACAAAAAAAAATGTCAACCATCTTCACTTTTGAGTTCTTCTTCTTCAAATCTTCATCTTCTTCACGGTTTTTCTTCTTAAATTCTCGATTACTTTTTCATTATCCAGGTATATTCAATTTCCAATTATTCAATTTAGAGATTTGTTTGTTAATTTTTAAATTTTTGAACATTGTTAATTTATTTTTCGAATACTTTAATTTGTTCCCTTGTTCTAATTTTCAGGCAGATTCCTAATTTTTTATTGATATTTAAATATTTGTTAAATGTTAATGTATATTCATTTTGTTATTTTGTTATTTAATTAGGTAATCTTGAGACCTGAGATGGATAAATTTGTTATTAGAGAAAAAGAAGAATTTAGTATTTGTAAATGATAAAGGCAAGGAAAAAGAAATATCTTCTTTTCTAGAGAAAGAAAGTGTGATTTCAAATGATGATATTGTTGCTGATCCGGGATTAAGAAAACTAATCAATAGTTATCCGTTGGAAATTAAGGATGTCATAAGGAGAAGATAAGTATTAGCAAAAGGTCCTTGTCGACCATTGGTAAAAAAAGATGGTTTCAAAGTGTTTGGTTTCAGAGTGTTTGGTTTGATAAATCTGTGCCCCCCCCCCATGAAGTCTTCCCTGGCTCCGCCACTGCATGGAAGCGTACGTCGACGACATGATTGTGAAGAGCAAGCAGGCAACCACCCATGCGGAAGACTTAGAAGGAGTTTTCAAGATTATGGAGAAGTACAACCTTCGGCTGAACCCGAAGAAGTGCACGTTCAGAGTTCAAGGCGGTAAGTTTTTGGGACACATGGAGAGCACGCGCGGTATTGAGCCCAACCCCGAGAAGGTGCGTGCCATCCTTGACATGGAAGCTCCACAAAATGTCAAGGAGGTGCAGCGCTTGACCGGAAAGTTGGTTGCGCTCAGCCGCTTCCTTTCCAAGTTAGCGGATCGAGCCGCTCCATTCTTCCAAGCTGTGAAGAAGTCCCGAGGGTTCGTATGGACGGAAGACTGCCAGCAATCCTTTGAATCTCTGAAATCTTATCTCCTCTCCGCCGGTCCTCGCTAAGCCCGAGCCCGGAGAGATCTTGTATCTTTATTTGGGAGTGTCGCCAAATGCACTAAGCTCGGTCCTAGTCCGAGAAGAAGGCGGAGCTCAGCACCCAGTGTACTACACGGCGAAGATGCTGAGGGGTGCCGAGCTCAGGTATTCGGTGGCCGAAAAGACAGTGCTGGCCGTTGTTTCAACCATGCAGCGGTTGACGCCCTACTTCCAAGCTCACCCGGTCCAGGTGCTCTCCCAGCAGCCCATAGGTGCGTTGCTCAGGAGTCCGAACGCGCCCTCTCGCATGTCCAAGTGGGCGGTGTTCCTTGGAGCCTTCCAGATCGAGTTCAAGCCAAGGCTAGCAATCAAAGGCCAAGTGCTGGCCGACTTTGTGGTAGAATGCACCGCTCGAGAAGAGTCGAGCCCGGAACTTGAAGCCGACGATTGGTGGACAGTTTTCACCAACGGCTCCTCCGCCGCCAAAAACTCGGGGGGTGGAGTGGTAGTCATCGCTCCCGAAGGCTTCAGAGCATATTACTCAGTCTGATTCGGCTTCAAGGCATCAAATAATGAGGCGGAATATGAAGCGCTCTTGTGCGGGTTACGTCTGGCAGCTGGGATGAACGTGACAAAGCTAAGGATAAAGTGTGATTCGAAGTTGGTGGTTGGCCATGTGTCGGGAGAGTTCGAGGCGAAGGACGAAAGAATGAAGAAATACAGAGATACGGCCCTAGAACTACTTAAAAGCTTCACCGCGTATAGTGTCGAGGAGATCCCTCAGGCGGAGAACGCCGAGGCGGATATCTTGTCGAAGCTGAGCTCAGACATGCCCGAGCACATCAGGCGAATGGCGAATGTGGAAGAGCTGTCCGAGCCAAGAATCCATGCCTTCCCCGTGGCAATGATCTGTGCTCAACCCAAAGATTGGACGGACGACATAGTCGCCTTCGTGAAGGATGGCACCCTCCCAAACGAGTCGATGAAGGCCAAGTTGGTCCGGACAAGGGCACCGGGGTATACCTTGGAAGGCGAGAAGCTATACAAGCAAGCATACAACGGGGCGCTACTCAGGTGCCTCCGACCGGCCGAAGCGAAACAAGTCATGGAGGAGGTGCACGCCGGAATCTGCTCCGCCCACCAAGGAGCATACGCGGTGTCAAGGAAGATAACCCTTCAAGTATATTTTTGGCCAACAATTGTTAAGGATTGCGCGGAGTTCGTAAAGAAGTCTAAAGTGTGTCAAGAGTTCCAGAAGGTACCGGGGAGGCCTTCAACCAACTACACCCCATCAGCACAACTATCCCGTTCGCGCGATGGGGGTTGGATCTCGTGGGTGCACTCCCTAGGGGCACCGGGAACGTGAGGTACGTCATCGTAGCCATTGACTATTTCACTAAGTGGGTGGAAGCAGCCCCCTTGGCAAGCATCACTGGAGCTCAATGCCAAAAGTTTCTCGCAAAGCAGGTCATCTGCCGCTTCGGCGTTCCCGAGCACATAATCACAGACAACGGGACACAATTCGAGTCCAAGCCCTTCAACGACTTCCTTGGAAGCTGGGGGATCAAGCACAGCTACGCGTCGGTTGGGTACCCACAGACAAACGGACAGGTCGAGAACGCCAACCGAACGATAGTCGACGGGCTGAAGCAGAAATTGGAGGCCTGCGGAGGAGAGTGGGCAGAGGAGTTGCCTTACATCCTATGAACCTACCGGACCACGCCTAGAAGGGCAATCGAGGAAACCCCCTTCGCCTTGTGCTACAGATTCGAGGCGAGGGCTCCTGCAGAGATCTCCATCGCAACCCACCGGGAGGAGATCTTTGACCACGAGCGTAACGAAGAAGCCCTGGCAGCCGAGCTCCATCTCGTACACGAGAGGCGAGAAGCGGCCTTTATACGAGTAGAGAATTACCGAAGAAAGGTAAAGAGCTACCATGACGGGCGTGTGCGCGCACGGGGGTTCATCGAAGGAGAGTGGGTGCTGCGCAAGAGGTCCGTAAGCCGCCCCCTAGAAGGTGGAAAATTTGCCAAGAATTAGGAAAGCCCCTACATCATCAAAGAAGTGGTAGGCCCCTCAATGTTCCACCTGCAGACGCCGAGTGGAGGGGATGTGCCTAGGACTTGGAATGTCGAGAACTTGGTTAAGTTTTATCAATAGATTTCGAATGTACACGGGCCCGAGAAAGGGAACCCGCAACACCATGATTGAATTCAATGAAATGGAATTTTTTGCAAACAAGGTCCAACAGGCATGCTCGGCACTCTCCCTCAGGGGAAGAGCCAAGCGCAGACCATGTCCGGATGCTCTTCCCTGATAAAGGTCTAACCTTCGTGCTCGGCACTCCTCCTCAGGGGAAGAGCCGAGCGCAGACCATACCCGGACGTTTTTCCTCGGATGGAGATCAAGCATTCGTGCTCGGCACCCCCCCCTCAGGGGAAGAGCCGAGCGCAGACCATGTCCGGATACTCTTCCCGGATAAAGGTCTAACCTTCGTGCTCGGCACTCCTCCTCAGGAGAAGAGCCGAGCGCAGACCATACTCGAACGTTTTTCCTAGATGGAGGTCAAGCATTCGTGCTCGGCACCCCCCTCAGGGGAAGAGCCGAGCGCAGACCATGTCCGGATACTCTTCCTGGATAAAGGTCTAACCTTCATGCTTGGCACTCCTCCTCAGGAGAAGAGCGGAGCGCAGACCATACCCGGACGTTTTTCCCGGATGGAGGTCAAACATTCGTGCTCGGCACTCCCCCTCAGGGGAAGAGCCGAGCGCAGACCATGTCCGGATGCTCTTCCTAGATAAAGGTCTAACCTTTGTGCTCGGCACTCCTCCTTAGGGGAAGAGCCGAGTGCAACCCTTAAGGCTAATGGCGAAAAGCAAAAACAAGACTTAATCAAATCCAAATTTTATTCATCTCAGAAAACGGGCAAGTACATGGCACAAACGCCTCACAATAATTAAACACCTTACAACTAAAGTACGAGTAGATTTCAGTGCATGCCACAATTCCACCCCCGCTCGCACGGGCAAGGTGGGGGGTAGGAAGGTGAAGGAGCCCGACTGACGACGGAGTGCCCGGTAGACTCGCCATAGCTGGGCAAGCCTGGGTCGTCAAAGGAGCACAGGCTCGGATGGTGGGATGCCACTAAGCTCTCGCTCGGAACCGCTGCGGGAGGAGCTGGAGGGCGGCGACCTCGGCCACCACGGCCGGCAGGAACCTAGGGAGCGACAACCTCACGTCGGACCGGTGGAGCCGGCGGAACCGGCGGAGAGGGGGTCTTCTCGTCCTCCTCCGACGAATAGTAGATGAACCCCGGGATCTTGGCAGAAGGATCGGGGTGCACCGACTTGGACTCAGAGTCCGAGTCCCAAGAGTCCCGCAGAGAGGGCAGCGTGGTCGAGCTCGGCCCCGACTCGGTCAGAATGGCAGAAGAGCCCCCGAGGGAGTAGCTGCCGAAGGAGAACGTCTCTCCTCGCATCTCACTGGAATCGGGAGGGGTGGGTGCCGAGCGCGGCATGGCAAGATTTGAAGAAATTCAAATATGAGTGAAAACAAATTGTGAGGACTCCCCCTTATATAGGCAACTTGCCATGGGGAGAAGGTACACGTGGCAGCACGGGGACGGTCGTACTGACGGCAGGTCAAAGGTCCCAGGTCTCAAGGTTGTCTCGGTTAACGAGGAGACAGAAAAGGGACCAAGTCCCAAAGTAACCTCTCTTCGGCATGGCCGAGCTCAGGTCGGACGGGGGATGGGCGAGCACGCAAGTGAAAGGAAACGACGAAAGACGGTAAAATTAAGGGCAAGACGAGAAAGCATAACATATCCATATAAAGCAAAAACCCGAATTCAAAAAACAAGTTCTGAGCAGCATTACATCAAATACGACAAAGTTTAAAGTCATATCACTCGGCATTCAGCTGCTCGCTGGCCGTGTCCCCGCCATTCGGGTAGTAGATGGAAGTGTCAAACTCGTCAGGGTTGTCGCATGGTTCGGGGAAGTCTATCCCGGCGAGGAACCTATCGGAGAGGACCTGCTGCGCTCGGAACAGACCAAGGTTGTACCACGACGTCCCTTCGGAGCGAGCAAAGGCTTTCCCCTCGGGAGTCTGCCCCCAGGCCTTGAGTAGATCATTCATGCGGGCGAAGGCCTCATCCTGGAATGCCCCCAAGGATATGAACTCGGCCACCGCCTGATCGCGAACCTCCTGGCGCGCCTTGCGAGCAGCCTCCTCCGCGAGTTGCTGAGCCCGCTCCTCGGCCTGGCGAGCTTCCTCCTTGGCCGCCTTCAACACCTCATTGAGGTCGGCTATCTCAACATAAGCCCTGCTCCGGTCGTCCTCACTGACGCGCAGCTGCTGGCTCATGTCGACCATGCGCATCATCGCCTGCAAATAACAAAGGGGTGAGCACCACAAATGAATTACATTTGTAAGGTGTAACAAGGGAAACTTACTGAGCCCAACTCGTGGAAAGTATCCGAGGCTAGAGTCTCCCGGTCGATATCTTTTATCTTGGCGCGATCAGTTGGAGAAGTGAAGCTGCGCAGGAAGGTCTCCGGGTCGTAGTCCCGATCTAGGAAGGAGACCCGAGCGGGGAAGGCTGCCTTGACGTATTTAGGATGGCCGAAGTCCTTCATCATGGGGGACTCGGACCCCTGCAAAGCGTCGGTGGCCGAGGCCGTTTCCTTTCTCTTCTTCTTCTGCGCCGTCTCGGGTGTCGGCTTCACGGGTGAAGTCGGGGGACGGCCGCCCGAGGTAGGAGCCTGGGAGTTGCCGCTCGGAGCGTCCGGGAACATGAGCTTCATCCGCTCGGCACTGGAGAGCATGATTTCACCTGCACAAAACCAAAGAAGACAAGTGGTGAGGCGAGAACTTAGCTGCGAGAAGGAGGGGAAATCCGAAGTAGTCGCGACGCACGGACGGCCGAGCGTAAGAGAGGGCACTGACCTGAGGGGCTTCTTTGATGCTCCGTTGGGTGTCTTCTGGGGATAGGAAGACGAAGCCGAGTGCCGCTAGCGCCTCGTTCGTCACTACCGAGCCGACTTCGAAGGGCCCCCCTTACAAACTATGGTCACAATCTCTAGATAATGTTCAATATATAATAATTTAGTTAGAACTTTTGAACAAAGGAAACAAGGGAAAGACAAAGTGGAATCCATAAGATTAAAAAAAGTAAGGGCATGTTTGGTTTATTCCACTTATTTACTTGTTTACTCACTCTCTCCGTCTCAAAATCAAGTTCCTACTTTATTTTGCTGTATGTGCAAAAATAAAGTTCATACTTTTTTTAAACTCACAAAGATCAAATCATAAATTTCATTTTGTTGAGAAGTACTTATTTGGTTGAAATAGATGCTGCCAAACTCTTATTCGCTAACAAAATCCATCCATCTACTATGACTTGTAAATCATGGCAACATTCATGATATTATTCACTAAAGCTTCAAGTCTTCAACGGTTAGGTAATATATTCTTAATTTTGTTTTCATCGAGTGCTAATAAAATTAAATGCATATAAAACTGTGAAATGAAGCTAATCAACCATTATAGTTATCAAAAGCTAGTATAAAAGCATTTTCTGTTTCTCTAAAGACTCTTTAATAGAATAATCAGGGAGAATAAAGAAAATAGAGGTGAATTAGTCGCCCCCACACACCTTATTTTCACTCCTCTTGTTTGAATATAAGATGGTCTAAGGAAAATAAAACTTTCACTCCATTTCGAGAGGAATAATATTGATGGAAAAAGTTCTAATGCAAGTTTAATGTAATTGATGATTAAAGTTTATCGAGTTTGACTTCGAAAAGTCAAACTCGAGGAATACTCTAGAACGAAGGAAGTATTTTCAATCCTTCGCTTTCCTTCAGTCTTCCAAATATGGTTCATCCTTTTACCTCTTTATTTGCCATCATATATTTTCTTTCCACTCTTATTTTTCCCTTTACAAACAGGGGGTCATTGTTCACTTTACTATTTGAGAAATGTTAGTCACAAAATTCACCAATTTTCCATTTTTGAAATTGTATTTTTGCTTTTAATTATTTTAGACCATGCAGCATATACTTGCATTCAAACATATACTCAAAGCTCATTACATAATTCTAGAAAAAGTATACTTAAATCAAATAATAGCCATTTTGACTTTTGAGTGTTTTCCATGTGAGTCATTGTATAAATTGCGAGTAAGCTTGGATTGTTAGGCTTCATATATTTATGTACAAAAATCTACCTCTGCCATGCCACTAAACAACTGATCATTAGCAACCACAAACAACAGAATGATTTACAAGCAAAGTGATACATATAAGGGAAAGATGATGCTAAATTCCTAAAATTCCCATTGGTAAGATTAGTTCTCAGTAGAAACTAATTCACCAACTCCAATTGTAGAGTTCATATTGTGATACAAAATATGGAGTACTAAATAAGTCTAACCAAAATTGATATCTTTATTTTAACAGTACTCTAGATGTTCAAAAACTGACAAACATATAAAATCTTAAAATCTAAAAAAAAACACAGCTGAAAAAATTTGAATAAATCTTTACGCATTAAAAAAAGGATATAAAATCGCAAGACTAAAATTAAAATTAGAACCTAAAATAAATTAAATATTCAATTAAATAGCGAATGAAATTTTGAAAACAATATGGAATTATATGATTTTACAAACAAAAGCAAAGTTCAGAGTATTTTATAATAATAAACATACCCAGTTCGCGTTAGAGGAGTTGGGAGATTTCAAAGATCTGGAAACTTTAATTTGGAGTTAGATGAGACAAAGTACTGGCCTGACTGACGTCGTCCGGCGACTTTAAGTCCGAATGGTTCTTGGTTCTAGAGAAAGAGAATAGAGAAGCGGAAGAGATGAAGAGAACGGCGGTTCTAAATGAACAGGCCTTGTCGTTAACAGGCCTTGACCACTCTTTTATTTTAAAATAGAAATTTAACAATGATTTCAAATTTTAGAAAAATTTTATGTAAAAAGATTTATGACAAATAAATAATCCATTACTTCGTGACATTAGTTGAGTATTTATATTTTTTATTTTTAAAAAATAATTCATTTATTTATTTGTTATGCTGTGATAAAATTAATTATGTTATAAAATAAAAATTTTGAAAGATAAATATAGTATTGTCCGAAATAAAATTATTAAAGGAAAACAATTATATAAAATATAATTTTATGATTAAACTTATTATAATGTAGCAAAATATTAGTGAAAATATAAAATTGGTATTATCACTGACCATTTCTAGACTAGCATTTTTTATTAATCAAATTTTTAACTAAGTGCATACACAAAAAACAAAATTTTGATAACGATATATTTTCGTTTAAAAGTATTTTTATTGGAAAGGATCAAATATGTTTATAACGGATCCTTTATTTATTAAATTGATATTTTAATCTCTAAGAAGCTAAAATGTGATGTTGTTTACTAGACATTTCTGACACGTAAAACATATTATAGAAAGTAAGAAGTTAATACTATGGTATGAAGTCATTCGTTACAATTAATTATGGAAGAGAATAAAGATATTTGTTTTTATAATAAATTATTTCCTAATTATGCATATTTTTCTATTGAATTATTACAAAACTTCTAAAGGTGTGTTTGGTGAGCAAAAAAAATATGAGTTTTAATATATCTAGATATCCTAATCCTTTTCTGGTGTTTGGTGAAGCCAAAAGAGTTATCAATATTAATGTCTCCAGATATCATAAATCTTTAAAATGGATGGTCTCAATATCTCCCGAATTTGGGAAATATCAATATGGGTGTTTGATATCTCTCTCAATTGTTGATCATTCTTCGCCACTTGCTACCATTGCCACTCTACTCTCGTTGCTAGTCACCCTTGCTTATCACTAATTAAATCTTGAATTTAAATCTCTCTAAATAAAATCATTTCAGATTACAAAATTCATACCATTTCTCTGAGTTTTCATAACTCACGTCTTATAATATCTCCAAAATTCACTAAATTGGCACTTAGTAATTAATAAGATATATTTCTTCACTTCTAAATAAATTTCATATTTTTATGATATATCTAAATCGAAGCAGTCAGTTTGATTATATATTAAAATATTCATGTAAGTTAATAAACAAAAAACTTATTTTAAAACTACAATGAAACTTTATAAAACATGAGAAGATTAGACAATAAATTGTTAATGCAGGTAAAATAAGTATTAGATATTATTTGGTAATTTGATTGTATTAATTTCATGGTTTGATATAATACAAATATTTTATTTAATTATTATTTATTATGATATTTTTAAGGGTTAAATATATTTTTAGTCCCTTAAAAATATGTGAGTTTTGTTTTTGGTCCCTAAAATATAATTTTTGTTTAAGTCATCCTTACAAAAAATTTTATTTTGATAATGATCTTTAGACGTAATAAAGACTTTTAAGTTTTTACATAACATATTTATTTTGTACTCAATAGCTTAGTTTTAGATTTGCAATTACCTCAGACATAATTTTGATGCCAATAATTGTGTCTTTTATCAAATTGCATTTCCAATTCTCAAATTTTGATTATATTATATTTGTAAGAAATTTGAGAGCCGGATATATGTAATATGAATAAGTACACAATTTAGGGTTTAGAATTTACATCGGATGTAACTAGAAATACATGACTAATATGTTGAGTATGAAATTAATGTACTATGGCATCTAATTAGAAGTACTAATTACGTTAAGGACTATTTTCAAATTAAAATATTTTGTAGGGATGACTTTATCAAAAAATATTTTACAGGGACTAAAACAAAAATTTCTTATTTTATAGGGTATAAAAACATATTTAAACCAATTTTTATTATATTATAAAATAGAAATGATTAAAACAAAATATATCGTTGGGACTTATTATATTACACTAACATTATTTATGATTTTATTATCATTGAGTACATTTAATTAAGAAAGAGAGATATTTATTTTTCATTATAATATTGATTTAATTTTTTATTTTTTCATTTCATTTATAATAATACTTTCAATGAATATATAAACTACTCTCTTCATCTCTAAAAAAATTTCATATTTGTTTATGTTATGATTAAGGGAAGTTAGCTTTATTCTATTTATATAAATATTGATGTAAAATAACAAATACTTCTTAGTCCCTATATTAAAATTCTATATATTAAGATATGTCTCGATTATTTTTTAAATGATCAAGTGTTTAAACCAAATTACTTAGGAGGAATATTTTATTTGACTTTTGTACTTTATCTTGCTAATTTGACCTATTATTTTAATCAAAGAAAGTTTACATTGTAACTTACCATTTTTCAAGATGTAAATTAACATTTATAAATTTATATTGGGTGATAATTCACTATATTGATGCATAAAAATAAAAAAGACGGATGAAGTATGACTCAATTTTCTTTTCGTCATTTTTGCAATCATACAAAGAAAATTCAACAAAATGATATTCTTAGAGATGAAACAATATAACATAGACTTTCACAAAAAAATTCTATAAGGAAAATTAAGATCTGGAGGCCGGAAAACACGTGAAGATCTCTGAGAATTAAAATTTAGATGCAAGGATAATCAATAATTTAAGGAGAAGTACGAAGAAGATCTAATGTGCAGAAGTGAATAAGATTTAGGGTCAGCTACAACATCAAATAGAAATATAATTTTTAATTTGTAACTCTTTGTATTTTATACAATATTATGTATTGATCAAAATACTTTCACACACTTAAATGATTTATATTTAAAAAAGAAAGCAAAAAATGAGTAAAAATTGTGAAATAGTTTTTGTAAAATTTTCATTAAAATCATATAATTGTGATCGGAGGTATTTTGCAAGTATACAAAAGCCTGATGTAGTAATAAAACCGGTAAGACCGGGTCGATTTCCACAGGGACTTGGTAAATAAATTGTGCTTTAAAGAGGTGTGTGAAGGAGTGTAAAAACGCAGGAAATTAGGGCAAGAGATGAGGTACCGAGGAGTTCGGGAATAGCCAATTATAATATCTACTAAAACTAAGAAACTTCATTCAACTATTGCAAGTGCGGAGTCATAAAAGTACATCTTGTTCCGATTAAGGAAACAAAAGGGTAATTGGCATCTACGTGCAAGTACTGTTACGTCTTGCATACGCTCAAAACTTCAAAAAGGGCACCGTCTAAGAGTTGGGTATATCTATATCCCAACTCGGCTAAACGTCTATTCTTCTAGAGCACGGATTATGCTTCAACGCTAGTTCCATCACAAAATCCCAAAAATAATACTAATCATATGTGGCCACCATAATCAAAGCACAATGATAACAAGAAGAATAAATTGTAATGAAATTGAATGAAGAATCAAGTTTCAATAAAAATTACAATGGCATCGTCCCTAACCTTGGTGGACGGATTTAGCCACAACACATTATGGAAACAAGCAAATACAACACAATGGAATACATTACAAAGAAATATGAGAAGAGATTACACGGAGCAAGCCGAAATTCGAGGTCGAATGTGGAACCCTAGCCCTCTCCTCTAAGCTTGAACAAGAACACAAAGGGGTGGAGAAGTTTGAGAACAGGATAGTTGGGGGTGATGATGGATGTCCCAAAAGCAAGGAATTTATCTCCAATTTATGGTCTTTCACCTTAGATGAACGTTGGGGAAGATTTGGGGCGTTTCTCTCGTCGATTCTCCGCTCCAACGGAAATGTCAGGTGTTGTTTTGGCAAAGGAACGTGGCTGGACGATTTTAATTATCTGCAGGATAGTGCGTAACCGGCGCAGGTCAACATTGTCCTTCGCCGGATTAGAGCTCAGTAGCCTTTTTGCGCCTTCAGAATGCTTAACCGGAACAGGTCAAACTTGCCCTTCGCCGGATTAGAGTTCTTCAAGAATTATGGCACAATTTGCTTCCTAAAATCGCCTGCTTTCCATGCAACATTCCGAAGTAAAGGTTTTGACGATTGATTAGTGCATCGAATCCCTTCGCATTTCCTTGAAATTTGTGTTCTTTCCAAATGTTTCTTCATTTTGCCACCCTATTCACAGATTAACGTTTATTAGGTAGATACAATTCTTGTTACTCTGAAACGTTATAGATTTGTGATTATAAAGTAAGCAAAAATAAGCATTGATCAAATCACTAATGTTTTTTGCGTTCACATAAATTTTGAAATAATACGAGGGAGATTAATAATTATATTTTTAATGTATTATAAAATTTATATTCCCTATCATATGATTGTTAATTTATATTTTCATACTTTTAATAATACAAGAAAAATGAATCAATTTTTAATCAGTGCAAAGGGCCAAGGAGAGGAAGAATCACATTAATGCGTCATAGAAATTAAAATCATATATTTCCGTAAATATAAATTAATCTGGCAGAAAAGAATCATGATTTTTTTAATATTAAAATTACAAGATCGAAAAATTAAGTTTGTTACATAAATGCAGGGGAGAAGAATAATAAAATCACCAATTTTTTGTCGTATATTAAAGGATTAAGGGGTGAGAAGAATTATATATTTGTAATAATTTAGTAAACCTAGATTACACACACACACACATATGAAATTTAAATGGTATATAACATAAAAAAATCAAGTTGTTTAAATATTTGATATTGTACAATAAAAAACAATTTTGTTCCGCTCGTGCATGGCATGGGTTAAAATACTAGTTTATACAATTTGCGAGCACGAAGGACTACTAAAGTGGAGGACTACTCCTCTTCTCTCCTCCACATCATCTTTTCTGGGATGCAATACACAACTTCTTCCTTACTCCTCCTCATCTCTTATATCAAAAGGGCTACTAAAATATTATTCACAATATAACTCATATAATTTTTGTATTATTAAATATTTATATAATAC